AGTTCCTTGTATAGACCGTGGTCTAAGAGCACCAACTGTGGTTTTCTCTTGCCTACAATTCACACACAAATTGGTTTCAATTCTAACTAACCACTATCTGCGTAATGTAGGGCATTTTTCTGTATTGGTTGCATAACAGTGAGCTTTCAATGTGTCATATATAAAGCTTACCTAGAATGTTCCTTCCTCCAGAAGGAAAAGGGCGAATTATCAAGTTAGCAGCATGGGGATCACAGTGCACAAATCCATGCTTAAACATCATTTCAGCAAATGCTTGACTAACCTGCATGTTTAAAAAGCGAATTTCATAAGAGAATGATCATTTTATCAAGCAATGATAACATCTCTTGAAAAGGAAAAATATGGCGAGAAAGACATGGCCTCCATCCTGGCGATTCACCAAAAAACAATGAACTGACAAATAATAGGGATAGCCAGGAGCAAGCAAAATTTCTATTCTGGTCAAACAATATGCACGACCTTCTGTATTCATCTTTAGACAAAATGGTAAGCTTATAGTGTGTGAAGTTAGCTTGACTTAAGAACAAACTATTTCCAGATGAAGGCAAGACCAATGAGCGGACAGTAAAAGTGTGGGGTTATAACAAGACATATTTTCTGCTTCTGCATTCCAAGACACTGTCTCGGTATGGCTTAAACATGAGCATATGTATATGTAATATCAACATTTATATCATAAGCAGATACAATGACAATCTTATATCACCGCAAACACTTACCAACGTTGAAACTTCCTTAGGTTTGAGACCAAGTTTATGAATCGTCTTGATATCGTTCACGTGTGCACCGTCAATATATTCCATGGTCAGTAACTTCGAAGTGCTTAAGTTCCAATGAACCCTAGGTGCATAAACATAAGCTGCTATATGAGGAGATAGCTTCCAGAAATTTTCAATACATCTCTCGCTGTTCTTTGCTTCAACTAAGAAATCCAGTTCCTGTTCTTGAAATTTGAACCACTATCAATATTTATCCATAATAATAATAACACAAGGGAAACTAGTTAACCCTGAGCTCTTTACAATCTTCATTCAGTACAATGGTAATCACTTGCAGACTCAAAACCATGAAACGGGAAAGAAACAAGAGTACTTGCCTTGGGCAAACTCTCACTCATTTCATCAATCAACCATCTGCACTTTTAAGCCAAGGGAAATTTCATTAACTTTATCTGTTAAAGACCAAATATACATGCACTCAAGACCTGGCAGAAACAGTATCTAAATAGCAATAATACACCAGGATAAACATCCCTTTATGCATAAGAGACATACACCAAAACTGTGAAAATTAAAGCAACTTTCCATGAGAGTAACTCAGATGAGTGCTCTACGCGAATAACTACACCGGGTGAGTGTTTGACTAAGAAACTGAATATTGGATGTGGAAACAGAGGCAATCACCCAGGGTAAAGCTACCTGTAATCAAATGATGGGAAAACATAATGTAGGGCATTCACAATCATATCCACCGTGGCATGATCTGCAGCAGCTGTATCTGTCATGTGCGTGTGCTGCACCTGAAGAGCAAAGCGATCTTAAAAGGACTTCATAGCGAATATAGTTGTTCCATGGAAATGTGCAAAATTGTAGAAGAAAAAGCAGCTTTAAGTATTTGACCAAGGTAGTACGAATTATAAACCTTCACAGCAACTTTTTGGCCATCAAACGTGCGAGCAACATGAACTTGTGCGAGAGAGGCACTAGCTATCGGTTCAGGATCAAACTCGCTAAATAACTGCACGTGAAAGGTTCTCAAGAATCAGATATTGAACAATGATCAGGTGGATTTGGTAAACACAAAAATATATGGAGATAATAGAGACCCGTATACTAGCACTAGAGCATTCAAAAGCCGTAAATTTTCACAAGATTGCAAAATACTTACTTTATCTGGTTCCTCCCCGAGCTCTTTCTTGACAACTTGGCGCACCTGATCATACGAAGACACTGGACATCTGTTCAACATCGACTCCCGCATTGTCTGAACATATTCTTGAGGTACTAGATATTCCTGCATAAGAATAAGTTAACTAGAACTTGCAATGGATTGATTGATTGATTGATTGATTGATTGGTAGCTAGATGTGATTCATACAACTTGAGACAAAAACCTACATGAACACCAAATCCAACTTGTACAAATCCCAAGGAAGCAGAACAAAATCATACCAGTTGCCCGATGTGTTGACCTAGCTTAATGTATATGCCTCCATTTCTGAAACATAGTTCCCGTAGCTTACAAGCAGACCTAAGGTGAACTTCATGTTTAACTTTCGCTCTCTCCTCGCTTCCTTCCGGCAATCCAAACAATGAGTACTCATAATCTACCAGCAGCAAACAAAAAGCAAGTATCAAAAACAAATCCAAAGCTCCTAACATCAAACCTATAGGATCGTAATTGAACCAGCCAGGTCCATTGTGGAAGAATTCGAGAAACGAAAACAGAACTACTCTCTCCAACTAAGCTCAGCTGAAGGAGATGTAATGAGAATTATGACAAAAAAAACACCATATGAAAGAGTTATCTACGAGCTCGAAAGTATTACACCGACAATTTAGCAAGTACAGCATTCAGTATTCACCAAGAACAACAAGATTGTAACGAATGACACAGAGGTATACCGAAAGCGATGGAGGCGGCAGTTACGGAGTCGCGGACAAGGCGAAGCGGGACAGTGGTGCAAACCTTGAGCGTGGTCGCTGGATCATCGGAAGTAGCAATTGCCGCAGCACCGCCGCCGGTGACAAGTGCGGTAGCTGCTACCGCGAGCTTTGCCTGGGCTCGCCACAAGAAACGGGCAGCCATGGGCGCAAACCGGCAAAAAGAAGAAAGAAGAAATTGTCTGGTAAAACGCACAGCTTGAGAAAGAAGAAATCAGCACGCACAGTTCCCAACGAGTATAAGAAGAGCCAAAACGGACCTAATGCATTTGGGCTGGATGTCCAGGCCCATCCAAAATTAGCCAATCAGAAAGTTAGATAGCCAAATTCCCCATAACACCCTAAAAGAACAATTTGAATAACCTGGATAATTAGTATTTATTAGTCAAATCGAATTTTTTTATTAGTCAAATCTATAGGCAATATGATACTGATTTGGAAGAGACAAATGAAGGTCAACATTTCAAAATTTTAGTATTTTAACTAAGAAACGAGTTACAAAAATATTAATGGTAACATAAAAATGGTTGATATTTCGATACATTATGAAAGATTTTGCTAATTAATAGCATTTTAATATGTTTGGATAAAAAATAGACATTACTCTAATTTTTACAACTCAAATGAGCCAACATTCCACAAGAGTAAACCCTTTTTTCAAACATAGGAATGATCGTTTAAGAATGTGGTAAACATGATTACATGACCTAGTAATGATTAATATAAATTTGTACATTTCATAAAACCTACACTCCACAAGAATAATTTGTCTATAAGTCTATTATAACATAAGAATCGCCTAATTGTTGACTAGCTGGCAAATAGCACAAGGATAATCAACGCTTTGAAAGATGAAGTTAGTTTGAAAGCCACGACAGCGAAAGAGAATAAAATCTCTATTCATTAATTTGTCGGACCCCGTCACTCTAATGTGGGTTCAGTTTATTGCCTTCGCATTAATAACGAAAGAGTGTCTTGTTCTAAAAGTAAAGCGAGCTGGACTCGGAGAAGGAACCAAAACAACTTCTCGACGTGCCATACGATACGAGCCCTCACCGGAATCATCAACCGTGGGTTGATTCTAACATTCCCAAACCAAGTATCGGTGCTTTCCAAGCTTCGTCGATAACGTTGATGCCTTCAGAATCGTGTGAACCTAATCACAACTCAAAATTGGCAATAGTTACTCGATTTCTCAATTCATAAAAGTATGCTAGTCAACAGAAGCAATTGAAGAAAGAGCCATATTATCATTTCCTGAGTACTGATGAGTGATGAGTGATGAGTGATGAGTGACACTTGTGAATATGTTAAGAAAGTCAATCGATGATATCTTGGTGTCCTGTGAGGAGTTCTACCAATTTCTAAGAAAAATCTACATTATGTGAATTCCCAAACAATGAGGCTTTGAGAAATGCAAAAACTAGACCCACGTCGGGGGGAAAAAAAAAGTTCAGACAAGCCTGTTTTAACTTAAACCATATAGTCTGCTAGATGTTGTCATCGTTTGCATAAGAAAAAATACAGAATTAGTGACACAAATGATTACTTAGATAGGGATCATCAATAAAAACAACCACTTAAAATGTGCATTTAACAAGTTAGCAACCCGCACTACACTAACTAATAAAATGTTAATTTCGCAATTACAGGAAATTAACATAATAACCATTTTGTGGTTGTTTCAACCATAAGTTTCTAACTTGTTAATTTAAATATAAATGACCAGTTTTGCTCCAGAATACAAACCAACTAGCCAACTATGATAGCCATGAGATAGGTAAGGAGCTTAAATATACATTTGAATTATATTTTTTCCATTTTGTTTTTGTTGGAGGGGGGGATTCCATTCCATATTAGAATGAAATAATTAGATAGGAACCTAGCTAATATAGACCAGAATTATTATTTGGATAGTGTACTATCCATATAATTTCATTTATAATTGCAATAGATAGATGTAGTCGTCATAGTAGCTGATCAAACCAGGAAGCCAGGCCTCTGAAGCAATTACAAGAGCTCCTCCAATGAAGCTACCAAGCTCTGGCCAAACTGATGTCGACCCCAACCTCTACTATAAGTTGGCAGCACTCACAGCCTCATCGAAACCATCCCACTTACGCCTACGTATCGATCTGTAAACCATGGCGGCGAAGTTCTCACTACTAGTAGCAGTAGCCTTCCTCCTCCTTCACTCCGCCATTCCAGCAACCGTCGTGGATTGTTTCCAGCACGACGAGCCAGGTGGGGATGGTGTCGAACACCACTCCACGCCTCGCCACATGTCGCTGCTAGTCGATTTCGGTGATCATGATGAGCCATCGTCTTATCAATATATAGCAATGGAAACTGATGAAAATGATGCAGAGGATATTGATGAGTTGATTTCATCGGAGTTGGATTTGGAGGAGGGATGGACGTCCGGGCTAGCTTAGCTCACTGCAGATAATCTGCCTCTGTACATAAGCTATATTTCCCTGTAATTATCGTCATGTTATTGTAGATGTTCGATATAGATTTTGGGCATTGGGCACATAGTTGTTTGCAACCAAACTCTATTCCATACTTTAATTTCTGAACACGTTTCTATGCCAAGAACCATTGCCTTAATGTGTGGGCTTAATTTACAGTCTCAATAGCGCCTGAGTGCCTTGTTCTAAAAGTCGAGAGAGCCGGACTTGGAGGAGGCACCAGAACAGCTTCCAGAAGTGCCATACGAGCTCCCACTGGAACCATCAACCGGGGCTTGATTCAAGCATTCCAAAACCAAATACCGACGCTTTTGCAGCTTTATCGACAACGTAGTTGCCTCCAGAACTGCAGGAACCTGATCGATCACAGCTCGGAATTAGGCGATAGTTGCTCGGTTTCTCAACTCACAAAAGTTGGTAAGTGTTCAAAGAGCCATAATGTTCTTACTTGAGTGTTGATGCGTGGCACTCTGTGTATGTTAAGAAAGCCAACGATGTCCTGGTAGCCCGTGAGAAGTTTGGCCAATTCTTTGTCTTCGTCTGGGGAAAGAAAAATCTTCAATACGTCATTCTCGTACCATTAGACTTTCAGAAATGAAAAAAAAAACACAGCATTAAGAGACAAACCTGGGATTGCTTTAACTGATACCAGACAGTCTGCTAGGTGCTGCCATCTTTTACAGAAGGTAGCTGATACAAGTGACGAAGGGAATGTAATTATAGCAACTGCAATTGCAGACCGCACAGTGCTCTTCAATGATCTGATAAAGGAAAGCATCTCCCATTCCTACAAGAATCCACATTTCTTTACCAGGGTTAACATTTGCTGGGAAAAAGAGCTAAAATGAAAGAGATTACGTAAGGTTAATTAGAGTGAGAAGCAATCTGAAATCAGAGTTAAAATGGGTACTGCTGCTCACCATGTTGGAACTTTCACATTGGGGTGCACATAACGACTGAATGGCAATACGACCAGTGCAAGCAACGGTTGCGTCATTTCTGAACGTGACAATTAGAAGATTGGTAAAGCCAACAAAGTCGATAGCAAAAAATGTACCTCAAGAGACATATAGAAGAGAATTATCATGCTTGTAAGCAGTAACAAACGTATGTGTTATGCGTGCAAGAACGTGCATCTTCCTTAGTCCATTCCGTGGAGATGGAAGCTTCTAGGATGTGAAGTTCCCAAATATGTGGCCCGTAGTAAAGGAATCTCTCAAAATGTTGTCAGGATATTCACAGATATACCTGGAAAACTGTGACAAAAATGAAGTGCAGCGCTCCTGAAGAGCAGCAATATTTGGTAGATCTTTGGTGCTAATACAGTCTACATGCTGCCCTGTGTAAAAATGTCTATCCAATGGCCTCCGCAAGTCAAACTCATTCGAGAATTCTTGTTTGTTATCTGCACTAAGTGAACTTAAGATTATCAGACAACCATGTTCCACAGCGAACACAAACACATAGAACGATAAAGCGAAACAAAATCATGCCTCTTTGACCATCGAGGTTTGACTGATTTTCACCAAAGTACTTCTTGTATTGCCAAGCAATTCTCAAACCCTTCTCCTGCATTACCAATTCCCAAGTGAACAGCATAGACTAAGTTGAGATAATGGCAAGCAGAACGTAGAGATCAGTCGCAGCGTAAGACCTGTTCTGCATCATGACTGCGGGATTTATCATCTTTGGGGGACGAAGGACTGGGCAAAGTACCCAAAAACCCTCTTGGGTCTTTGGATGGACTAGCATAAAGAAGAGGCTGCTTATGGACAAGTCCCTGAGACATGAAGTTCCTCAGTAAGAGCATGTGATGAGGTGCTTCTGAATCTTCCATCACCATGACCAAACTCCCCAAAGGAATCCCACCACCTAGGGTCTCTACATTGTGGAAATGAAATCACTAGTAATCAGTTTTAGTTTAAATGAATTCAATTCTCGTGGAAAATACCGGGAATTTGGCAGATAATATTACTGTCGAGGTCAGGAATTCCAGAGGAGACCAAAAATGTGCCATTAGGACCGCACTTGATTTCAGGGCTCTGGGCAGAAGATGCAGCCGGCAGGTTGCGAGAGAAGCTGCTTGTCCGAGTCTTCGTAGCAGCCATTGCTGCTCCTCAAAGTTACACCCTCTAAGCCAAACAGAAACAATTTACTAATTAACGACGGCTCATAGAAGCTTTTCGTCGAACACCTAGTGTGCATCTTATGAATTAAGCAGATAGTCAATATCAATGGATGTCGATTCAAGCTTTCGAACTAACCTGCTGGCTTACTTGGTAGACTTTACTGAAGATAGAAGCTTGCGAGCGAAGCCAGGACGGAGGACGAACAGTTTCAAGTTTACTACCAGACGGCGGCACCCGGAACAAGCTTGACAAACCAACGAACGTCCTTCCAAGAACTGTCACTTTCCGCTTCCTTTGCTTTCTCAACAACCGATCACTGATCACAGACTACGACAGGGAAAGAAAGCCGTCAACGGCTGTCTTCTCCTTTTCCCGGTTCCAGGCTCGAAGCAACGAATTTCTATTCTCCAACCGCCTAATTCACGGTGAATGGGAAGAGAGAAGTTCGTCTCGGCTCCGCCTTCAATCTCGCCGCCGCGAACTAGCATTTGGGCCCACCCTAACTAAATGGGCCTCAACTTTCGTGTGTAGCATTGCTGTTCGAAGCCCGATATCAACATCTTCGTATCTCAGCTCTCTAGTCGGCCCAAACCCAAATTCCGACAAGTTTGCCTAACCTTTTTTTTTTTTTTACAAAAAATATTTGGCCAATCCAAACGAAAGGGTGTGCTGTGCATATCAATTTCACCAAGATAGAGTTCCCACTTCACAGCGACTCCACTCAAACAAGGTTTTTGTAAATTCTAATATTTTTTAGTATCGCTATACTATTAACAAATCACTAAAAAAATTCCAGATTTTATCATGCTAGTCAATGTGATTTTCGATAGTACTCAACTGAAAATTCTAGCTAGCTTTCATTTCTTGCAACTAATTTTTTCGAATGATCATTTTCCTTTATAGATAGATAAGACATGTGTAAATCCAAAGTGACAATAAAACAATACAAGGATTATTAGTTCAATATTAACGTGACAATACAAAATTGAATGGCGCAACGTCTTAAGAAGTGGGTTAATCACTCTAGCATTGCAAGACAAAATGCTTCTTTCATTAAAGTGTAAAATGGACTATAAACTTTTTGGTATTATGCTTAGCGAATCTGTATCCATGCATTGGTATGCAATGTAGTGTCCATCTTTCTACATCCACCTGTATTCTGATATGCAACCTAACTTTTAATCCTTTAATATTTGAACAAAAGATGTTTGCTTTAATCAAATCCGTTCCAAAGTGTTACGAGGACAAGAGAGCAAAAAAAAAAAAAGGTTCCAGGGAGACAAGGAACCAACTATGATTCCATTTTACAGCGCAGATTCAGTAGATATAGGCTGTCTATTCTTAGTTGTCAACTAATTCCCCATTTTTAAAAAATATATATATAACAGTAATAGGGCAGGCAGTTAGTCTAAAATGGGATCACCATTGGAAAAGCAATAATAACATTGGTCGATCAAGTTGGAGTGTTGAGTAGTAGTGGGGAAGTGGTGTCATTTCTGCTTCGTTGTCAAAGCCTTTCATAATCGTATCCTCATCATACTCAGCGATTGTAATTTCTTAGCTAGCTATTTCCCCTTATTTCCCATCTCCTTCTGTTTATGATTTGATCTCTTGATTTTTGAAACCCAAACAGTAAAGGCTGTCGCTTCTTGCCTAGCACGATTTGAATCCATGTTACGCAATAAATAAATCTTCATCAAAACCTACCGCGTGCATTCAACCGTATAAGTGTTTGGATTATGTTCAGCCTCAATCTCATACTACTGTATGTGCTTCATCGAGGCGAACTACTACGCGTGTAGAAAAATCCAACAACGTCTACGTGTATGTGTGAATCTCCTCCTAGCATCGACACGAGATATCCTTCATAGGAGTGGAGTACTATAATTAACATTATCTTATAATATTTTTCATATTGTAAAGTTTAAGATTACAGGTGGGCTACTATATGTCGGATTCAAACAAATGGACGTAGCTAGACCTAGGTTGGGAAATTAGACTAGGGCAACATCTGGACAGGTGTGACATCATCACCCATGCACGTATGTTTGAGGTAGGTAGTTATATGATCCATCGAGAAGTTGTTGTTAATTAATAGTAATTACTACTAATTACTGTGTCGCAGTCATGGAGATATGAACCCACAAAGATTTTGATGCATAATCTCCATATGTTGTTCATCTCCTAATGGTTAGGACCAAGTTTACGGATATTGACAAAAGGGAGGAACAGGACACGTACTAGGCGAGTAAAATGCGTGGCGACAGGCGAATGCTTGCAATTCTTTTTTGGTGTATGTCGATGGAAATTAGGAAATAAAAATAGTTGGGAGATATTTTATGTATTACATATATACAAATAAATACAAAACAGTAAGAATTGGATTTGGAGCCATCGTAATCAATTGTCCCACGATTAATCCGCGTGGAGTACGCGTGTGTTTTTCAAGGCTAAGATCATGCCTTGCGTCCCCTATTTACTTCCCTCACAAGGCACTGGATAAGCCGTGGCGATATTTTTTATAAGAATAATATGAGTTTGCTATTATGATTAGACGTTCCTGTTATTTAACAAATGTGAAATTAAAACTTTCATAAACAAAGATCAAAAGTAATATCACTGCATCAAGTACTTTTACGCAAAATTTCGTTAAAACAAATGGGTTGGAGCAAAATATTAACAAATAAATCTGATGTTGAGAACCAATTGAGTATTGACAGAATTAAAGTTTGTAGATTGATTTAGTTTCATTTAAAGGGTAGTGTAGCAGACTAAGTAACAGCATTCCTCAACCATCGGTCGAGTATATTGCATTCCTCAAGAAAGACCATCGATGATGACGACTCCCGTCCAAGGCAAGACGTTCGCCGGCTTTCCACTCAAGATGAGGCTAAATTCATCGAGCCAGTATCATGATGAAGAAACCGAAGAGGATCGCTTAACTGTAGCAAGAGCACGAAAAATTGAGTGTTTCTTATCACAATCCTTTTTCGTAGCAGAAGTATATACGGGTTCTCCGTAAACATTTTGGGCGGAACAGATCTACTAATTTTTTTATTCCAGTTTTGGCTATACAAAACACACTGCTCCTTTTTTTTCTTTTTTTCTTTTGGCTATACGTCTAGCTGGTCTTACGACATCTAACAACTATTAAGCCAAATGGACAGACAATGTTTTGCACTCTTTATATTCCGTGGATGCTACTCGATTCTATTTGTATGGACAGTGCTTAGCTTTATATACAATAATATTAATCATGTGGTTAGTTAGGGTTGGCTTTGATCAATGTTTTTGTCCACAAACTTTTACTCGATGAATCCAATTGGCAACTAGATTTCGTTGGCATGATTCATTCCTAACTGCCTTTACGTACAGCCAAAAATAGTTGGCTTTCCTTTCTGACAAAAACAAAATGCTTAACATTTACAGGAATACAGGGCTATAGCCCATAAGGTGATCTTTCCGATTTTGTAGTATTCCCGTTTTGCTTTGTAGAAAACAGTTTTAGGTAATTTATTTCGCTCTCGGAAGTCGGAAGTCCAACTTAAATAGACCTAATTATTATAAGCTTCCGATGTTTAGCCGGTTCAGTACATTACACAATGTTGGAGAAGCCTACAAAGTGCATACAATAATACACATCTAACGTTGTAAGAAGAAGAAAAAAAATATACACAGCTAACTAAGTGGTTTAAGGATTACAGAGGCAACGTCCAAAAAACTCTTGTTTCTTTCCCCATCCTCTGGCTCAGTGGCTTGAGTTGTATGGTGAACTGGCCGGAGCCATTTCTCAATATATACCCCCGTCTTTTTGCTTAGATCGAAGAAGTTGGTGTTTGTTACAACCCATCTATAATCCAACTCATAAAAAATTAGTGCTTGTAAAATCGTATCGTAGCGATTGTCCTGTCCGATTGGAAAAACCTCTTATCGCAGGCTAAACTGATAAATGATTCTTAACTATATAAACGGTTGGATTAAATTAAACTTTGATTTCATTATAAAATATTATATTGTTGACTTTTTTAATACAAATTCCGAACAATTTTACAATTCCCACAAAAAATTAGAGTACACACTGAATTAGATAGACAAAACCGGTTTTCTTGTGTTGATTGGGTCAGGATGGTTGGGTACTCAGGATTTGATTGCCATATGCGTTCACAATCACAAGTGAGAAGCCTTCTACGGATTTATACAAAATGGAAAATCTGCGAAGATGAAACTTCTTCCCCTGAGCTTACCCAAACAGAACCCAACTGCCCACGAACGAACCCGAACCGTTATCTCTTGGGCTTAAATAAGGCAAAGGTAACTTAATTATTAGTTTAAGTGGGCCACAATAAGAATAACTATAAGCAAGCAAAATGTCAGCTGCTCGAAGAAGCCGTCAGGAATCCAATTTTGACGGCCTTCCTCTTCCTGGCTCGGAGCCAGTCCGGCCAAAGGCGGCTTCACAATTTGCACAAATTAAAATATTTGATCAGTTAAGGGTGAGTTCACCGTCCACGTCATGTAATTAAAGTCTCTCTCTCTCTCTTTTTTTCACGTCCGTATTTTACACAGATTCACTCACATATGTAAAAGTCTCGTATGTGGCGTCGATCGTTCGTTGGAAGTTTGGATTCGGTTAACTTGGAGAGGCTGCTTGCTTGCTAAGCCTCGGAGACGCGCTGGCGTAGAATATATATATTCCAAGTCTTCGATGGAGCAAAAAAAATGAAGGCCACAAGCTCTCTGCAGCCTGTCCCACTGGAAATATATAGCATGAATAATGTGAAATCAAAGCCACCTTATTTTAATTAATTAGACTTTGACCAAACTCACGAGAAGTGAAAGGAATCCAAGAAAAACGTTTTTTGTATTTGCCTTCCACGAGTGGTAACTAATCGAAGGTTCAAGGGTTATATGATGAATTATTGACGAGGCAAGTGAAATTTTCAACTTATACCTATTGTTACTTTTCCCCAATTCATTTAATTTTATAATAAAATAAAATGAATGGTTTTTAGTCTCTCCATCATATCATTTTGGCGAACAAAAAACTGTTTACGACAGGTTTATTACGTCGTTGACACATTTTAAGTTTATTTGATAAAAGTTTTGTTTGAATACATGATCAGCGCAGTGTGACTCGCCCGCGCGTCTAGTTACCATCTTGTTGTTGGCTTGAATATCATATGATGAGTACGTGCATCATTTCAAGATGTTTGTGCTTTGAAGTTAGAATCGGGGATAAAGTTAACAATTTCGAATGGAAACGTGGTGATTGATGTGGGGCAAAATTTCTATTTGAGGAAAACGAAAAATATGTTACGTACATAGATATGTTTGTTTCGAATCATAATATGTGCCACTTAAATTTACACAATAGAACTTAAAAGATTACAAATGTCCTTAACCAGTTTAGAAAATAATACCAATAGGGATGAAATGAAGTTTATTTGACCATTTTAAGCGTTACCTATTAATTAATAAACACTGTAAATCGTACTCCATTTCCGAGATAGATGATGAGATAATGTCGTGTTTAGTGAACCAACTATTCTTACGTGAAAATTAATCTAAAAAACTATCCTTTTTATTAAATATTCGTCTGTAATTTTTTGCTGGTAATTATCCTGTTAAATATATGTTATTATTATGTATAACGGGGAGGAAGTTGGTGATTAGAATTATTAATGATGTCCTGAAAAAAAAATCTTAATTATGTAGGTTTATTGCAAAAGCAATGAGATAATGGATATGGCTTGGGATATATAGATACTGATCTTTTGGGAATCTATAAAGTAATGTGAACAATCTCATGCTTCAAGTAATCACTTTAATAAAACACTATTTTCTATAAACCTGTAGCAGCTGTGGTTTACTAATTATACTATTCTTTTCCCGTGTATGATGTTTATTAATTTATTTATTTTGTTAATTGTGAAACAGACTAAGACTATTACATAATTGACTGAAAGTTAATTTTGAAATGAAGGCTTTAGTCCAGATACAACACCCTAGATTTATGTAAACTGTACATACAATTAAGTTAAATTGTAATAATTTATTTATGTAAACTGTACATATAAAAATTAAGTTAAATTCATAATAGTTTAGACCCTAAACACACATGCTTCTCCTCCTCCATAGCCGCGATTAATAAGCATCCAATGCGATTAGATCTTTGTACAATCAGGCTCGAAATATACTCATTAATAAGCTAACGAGCTCTAATCAAGTTCGGCTCATCGATCGGCTTGTGAGACCGGCTCGAACTTGAGTATCATATTATTTAGTTCATAAATTATAATTGTTTATATATTGTTATTTAATAGTAATTAATTAGTATATAAAAATTTATGATACATAAATTATCTTTAAATTATAAACAAAATATATTTGATGATGTACTCAAAGTCTTGAACACCATAACTAGTTGATACATGATCTAACAAATCAATAAATTATGATCAAGTAAACTCAATAAGCTATAAATTGATTTACACATAAGCCGCTAGCCATATTGTCGAGGCAAATCATAGCTCAAAATGAGCTAGTTAACTAGTTTAACTCAACAAATCACCGAGTCAAGATATATAATGAGCCCTCCGAGCCAAACAAAACTTATCGCAATCTTACCTCATTAGTAAACAAATCAAATACCGATTACCGAATGAAATTTTTCCAATTGAACATCAAATCGCTCATGAACAAGTTGATTCATCTGCATAGCGTCGACGGACAAAACCAAGCTGGTAGAGAGGCAACTTGTCCATGTACCATGCTGGAATAAAATCTGAGACAGTATCAGGCACCATGATTTTTGTCTACAACGTCATACATCCTTTTCATGACATTTGATCTGATATTCCATAAGCAGCTAAGTTTTTTTTATATGCTGAATATGCAGTTAAATTCAAACTGCAACCTTCTCTTTGAACATAAACCCACATTGAACAGTAGAGAATAAAGAGTTAACCTAGGCCTTTTTTACTATTGGTTGTAAATCAACTACTAAATTATATTTCCCCTAAAAAAGCTATATATTATTTCTTATGAATACTTTTGCCCGTTCTTGTAGTCACAAAAGATGAGATTCATTAGCTTGAATTTATAATTAAAGGATTCGTTCTTCTAATTTGTTCATTGGAATGTTAAAATGATTCGAGAAACAAATGATTGGGCAGGGAATAAAATTAGTTTATCCTTTCTAATTGTTTTTTGCGTGGGGAAATATAATTTAATGGTCATTTGTATTTAATTAATTTATATATGTTTGATTTGTTCTCATGGCCAACCACAACTAAGGATTAAAAAAAAGTTATTCTAGTGGCAACTAACAAAATAGAACTCTGTATAGTGACCAATCAGGTAAGCTATCAAAGAAGAACAAAGTCAATCACGAATGCCTTAACCTCGGTCCAACGAAGCATTTTATCTCTATCGTCAAACTAATTTCCCATAACATCTTCGTAAAAAAAAATAAAATAAAAATCTCGCAACACAACTCTCATATAAGTATGTTAGGTTGCTCTTATTTTTCGGCCAATTAGGATGGTATAGTTTACTTGGCTCAAAGATAAGAGCAGCCCAACAGCTCACTCAGCAACGTCGAGGGGCATGGCTCATTTGGAATGGAACAAATTGTAGTATGGACACCAAAAGAGAAGTACATATTATGCGCGTCCGCTTTAGTCTGCAACAGTATTTCGTTGTCGATACATATACAAAATGTGGTAATTGATTTTATATTGATATTTTACATAAAAATGGCATTCTCCATCCTAGCTAGATTGAAAATATGCTATGTCAGCACTACTGTGAGTTGAAGGTGAGGAAAAAAAGAAATCAGGAAAACTCCGAAGGAAACGACGAAGGACAGGAAGAGAATTTGGGTTTGATAAGATTCGCAAGCATGAAGGTTTTGCATGTGATGGCATGAACATGATCTCGTCCCAACGCCAACGGTCTGTTCCACCATACCCGCTTCCTTGATTGATTAATTGGCTGCTAAAATGCTTACTTACTGTTCCTAATTGCCTCTGCCTTTACCTTTTATTTTACTAATTATTATGTTGTCCTGTAGTTCTCTTCTTTTGTATAAATACTATTATCATTTCATTTGCTGTATTTAACTACTAGTATTATCACTTGGTGGTTGTATTAATGTAATTAGCTTCCGATCCTTTCCTTCTGGTAGTTAAGTACAGCTCGACTTTATTGCTTATGGCCACAACTCTTAATTCTTTATTTTTCCACCAACCTTCACGCTCTGCGGCTCTGGCTTTTTTACGTTTCTCTAATTAAATTAATTCAACCAGAATCTCTATAGGTTATGCACCATCCAGGCCTTGATAGGGAATAATCAACCATACAATATAACCTCATCGAGCCCAACAAACCACTAGAGGAAAAAGAAGAGTGATCAAATGTAAAACTAAAAGTAGTCTTCTTGTTCCATCTCTTTTTTCATTTTCCAGTGGAACCGATGATACGATAGATCGATAAATGAATGTTCTCTTGATATCTGAGATTTACGATAGAGTACAATTGTTGATAAGTAATTACAAGATTTCGGATCTTGATCCGGCATTGTGCAAAATGGAGGGTGAGGAGTTGAATGCATCTCTCATTTGTGTAGGCACATATATCCTCGGAAGAAAGACAAAACAATGTCTTTGTAGTAGAATATTCTTGAATCTTTTATAAGGATGAGATCTCCTCGAGAAATTTAGGGAGGGAGAAGTAAAACATAAAGAGAAAAATAGTGTGTTCGATTGAATTCTCACCCGGGGGAGGGATTCATAATGAATGGAAAATTGAAAGAAAGAAGCAAGTAAAGAGGTATTCTGACAGCGACACCCATTGTGTACGAGTTCTACACAGAACAATGGATGTTCTAAGCCTTGAATGTCAAAGTTTGGAAGACCTCGAGGTAGTGGCACTATTGGAGCTTCTAGTTTAACAAAAAAATATACTCTCTAAATAATGTTATCGATTCGGGTGAAACTTATTTTTTAAACGATGGTGAGAAGGTCTATCAACAGGTAGAGTTTGACATAGGGAAGAAACAAAAAGAAATAGTAAGATTAGCATTTCCCGAATTAAACGGCTAACCTCACGATGTCTCTTTGAAAATTTCACTTAACATGAAGTTAGGTGTTGTGGACGCGGTTAACAAGATCAATAATCTCTATCACAATAAAAAAAAACATCCATATACATTTTCACACCCAATAAAGATAAATAATGTTATTTTCCATTATAGTAAAAAATTTCCATATAACATTTCTACATAACCTTAAGTCCTTGCTTAGTATTTTACATAGTTAGTAAAATACGGTACGGGAAAGTTACGTAAAAGATACGTACGGGCATTATACTTCATCTTTAAGCTAAAATTACGTTTAATAGTACGTTAATAGTCATAAATATATAAAATTAATCATTTTAAAAATAAATAAATATATAAATAATAGTAAAGTTAACAATTTAATTCGTAAAATACGGATAATAAACGTGTTATACGGGTTTTATACGTGTTTAGTACGGGAACCATGAAATGAACGTGGGAAAATGAAACGGCTTGACAATAATACGGATACGGAAGTTTTAAACGGATAAAGTACGTACAGGTACATATACGTGTATTAAACGGAGTATTTACTAACTATGGTATTTTACTCGGGTGTTGGCTCATAAAATTTTCGCCCCTCAACCATCCGGGTCGGCTCGCTTTGTTTGACCTGAAATTTCGCGTGGGATGCTTGTCACCTACGAGTCAAAAGTATGTTCAACCCCCTCCCTCCACGTCACTACTGTATCTCGAGCTCCCCAATTTTTCCTTTATATACATATCTCGTCAATATTCAATTTCCAATTAAATTAATAAATCCCCCAATTCGATTCAAATTCGGCTGTTTCCATACCCTCTTGCCTCTTCTAATAAACCTAAAAAATAAAAAAGGAAATAGAAAAATCAAACCCCGTGCCGTTCCCCTTTTAAGCTTCTTCTTCTTCTTCCTTCTCTTTCATAAGTCTCCTCGTCTCGCCCCTTTCCCAGCAGCAGAGCTTCCTTGCTTTCTTTCTCTCTCTTCTGTACATAGAAAGCGCCATAGGAGGATGGAAAGAAAGAAAGCAGAAAAAGTGAATCAATTGAAGATGGGATTCCCAAAGGAAGAGAAATCGAAGAGAGTCCTGAGAGGAGTGAAGACGGTGTTCTTCATAATAGTAATGATCTTCTCCTTCCTCATCTTCTCAGCTCCGGTGCTCCTCGTAATCGCCGATACTCTCCTCCCGGTCTCCCTACTCTCCGCTTCCCTCTCCCCGTCTTCCTTCTCCCTCAGCACTCTCTCCGCCGACCTAAGCAACTACGATTTCCGGTACTCCCTCGTCGACATCCCGCTCATTTCCATCCTGAGATCCGCCGTCATCTTCTGTAAGTGAAATCACTACTGCAAACCGAAATTACACCTCCTCTCTCCCTCTGTCTCTGCCGGCTCGGTTCGTTTCTGATTTCCGATTTGTGTTTTTTCCAACTATTTCAGGCGTCTACAGCTTCTGCGATGGCCCGAGGCTCTCGCGAGGACCGTACTTAGGGATCACGGCGATTTGCTCCGTCTCCTCGCTGATTTACGTCTCCGTGAAGGCGCCGTACGTTTTCAGCATCTACCGGATCGACCGGGGCGGGTACGTACGCGGGATGGAGGTTGCTCTGTTTCTGTGCTCGCTGTTTCTGGCAATTGGCCACGTCGTTGTGGCATATCGAACGAGTTGCAGAGAGCGGAGGAAGCTTCTGGTCTACAAAATCGACATTGAAGCTGTAAGTTTCCCTATTCTTCCATCAATTTTTTTTTCTCCTCTTTTGAGTTTCTCTCCCAAAAGGAAACCGAGTTCCAAGCTACCTCGAAAATTTAGCTTACGTCTCATTGAGCGAGTAATTAGATTGTTTACTAAATTAATGACTAATGAGTCCTCTCTTCTCCAAATCACCTAAACCTGTATGAGTTACGGCTATGGCGGATGGATTCCCTTTCCCTTTCCACTTTCCCGTTCTAGATTGTCAGTTTTAGGGTTATTAATTACTGAATTACGGAGTCCACCAAACCGGTTGCGCGCTTGAAAATGTTATTATTTAGGAGCAGTAAATTCCTTTTCGTAAGGAAAGTAAAAGCTTGAGCAGTGAATTCCGGGGAATACTCTGACAACCGCCCAATGAGAATAACGGGGTGAAATTGCCTAGAAATCTCACCTTCTTTTGGTTGTCTTGTTTTACCAAAGGGTGAAAGTATTGGCGTGTTCTAGAACAGTGGTTAGAAAATCAACTGGTAGAATAACCAAACCGAGGAAGTAGTGTTGTAGTCATTCAAGAACCCGTGATTTCGATCCCAGAAAATTTTCAGGGGGTCAAAAGTAAAAACATTTTATTAGTGGGAATAAAATCCGGGAACGGAAAATAAAGTGGAAAAAAGAAAATCAAACCAGTAGGTGTGGAACGTTGAACTTTTGTTCGTTTATGTGGGGAGGTCAAGAACTGACCGTTTGAATTAGTCAGTTGTTTTATTATTCAGCTTTATTATTTCCCCCTTTTTCCTTCCTCGACATGGGAATCTGTCAGGAGACCTTTCTGAATAATTTTCTAAATAGTTATTTTAAGAAGCTCACTTTCTCAGTTCTCTACGCCTCAAGGTCAGGGAAAATTGACCTGAATCGTAATTTTTTTTTAATGAAAAGTCGTGGAAATTGGATCAGTGAAGTGCAATAAAAATGTCACTTTGTCAGGAGATTCGAGAGACAAATATTATTCGAGGGCTTAACCAACATGTGCTGGTAGTGGGTATGGTTCTATTAGTTTATTTTTTTGTAACGTGACACCATTGAAATGGTGAGCCGCCCTCACAAGTCACAAGTGGTGGCTAGGACGTTAGAAATTTGACGTTGGGGGAATAGAAATTGGAAATGGAAAATCAATAGGAAGGGTCCAATATCTGCATTTCGGCCCATATTGCTGTGTAGTCGCCATACAACAAACCGAACCCATTTGTCCAACTTGCACATCTATCTTCGCCCAATTTCTGCTCTCTCTCTAGATTCATTCATCCTTCCCCCGTCCACCGCCAGCTAAGCCATTGTTTACGTTATGCGCACAATGACAAATGGGGTCGCCCGCCAGAAGGGCCGACCATTCTTTTGGAGAAATCATGGTGTTACCTGGTACGACTTGGGTTTTGTCGAACACCGAATTAGAACTAGGAGGAACTATTCCAAATGGGCAGCAGCAGCTGGAAAATATGCTCGGCTGGATTCGTTTGTTTGTTTGCCGTCATTTTTCACTTTGCATATTGCTGAGCATCTTAATTAACTGAGTGTGGTTGTGTTTGTTTGTTTGTGATTCTTGTAGATCTCGGCTTGCCAGAAGGGACTCCCAAGGTACCAAAAGAAGATCCTCCAGGAAGAAAGAGTCAAGTGACAATGGCTAGCTGCCGAACCCATGAACAACAACAAAAAAAGAAGAAAAAAAAAGACTAACCCAGACATCTTCAGCATTTTTTTCTCCTTCTTCATGATTATCCCTTCGTGTTCTTCAGCATCCCGGTTTGAGGTAATTTCTTCAGGATGGTCCTCTCTCCTTTAAATGTTATTTTCCGGACTATGATTCAGTGGTTGAAATGGATGTACATTGTTGGGTGGTACAGGTTAATCCTAAGGATGCCTCTGATTTGGAGATGATTGAAGAAGAAGATGAAACAAGACTTACAAAGCTAACAGAGATGGTAGATATGGTACAATAGAGTGCTATAGGGAAGTAGAGATACCTGTGTTTTGGGGTGTAGTAACCTTATGTATGGGATTCACTAGGTGTGACGACTATTGTTACATTGTACAGATTACTGCATCTATTTGTTGTTTGTGTATTTGTTGTGGTGTTGAATATAATGAAAATCTTGAATGGCAACTTGGCCAATTCCCCCTTTCATACTTCTAAGTTCTAAACTTCAAATCATCAATCCCATGAGGCATGAGCCTATGTATACAAAATGAGAGATCGTTAACTTACCACTATTTTATGAATCTGGTGAAAATTAGTTGATTTGTGGCAAAGACAATCTCATATAATGTTCTTCTTTTTCAGTTTGCGAACTAGTTATGCACATTAAAGATTGGAATGAGGATAGTTTCAATAATGTTGCTACTTTCTTATTAATGTAGATGTCAACTTTAAATTAGATTGGACGTACTCTAGTTTTTAATGGTTGAATAAAGTGAACTTCAAACTGATGATCGTCCCCAAATCTAATGTCATTGATTCCATATTTGTTCCTTACATAGTTCCTTACCACCTACTTGGTTAAGACTTAAGATTGACCAAACTTATGTCACGATGTACATATCATTGATCAACTGAACTTCATCAACTATTTATTTTTTTCGCATAGTCCCCTTTGTCTCTTAAAGTCCCTATAGATTCCATTTTTTTTTTACCATCCATTAAAAAAACTAAAAAACAACATAACACACAAGTAATTATTTTGAAAGTCGCTCAGTATATGAACTCAACATCCCTTGGAAATTGAACATTTGTTGAACTTTTTTATACAAAAAAAAGAGCATCTGTTGGAAACTGAATTCCCTTCCCCTTCTTATTCCTCCAAATGTCAAATAGCATGACTTGTTGACTAAGTAGATTTAACATAGTTAATAAACTTACTTCGAGAAAATGAATTAAAAATATAGAATATTTCATGGGTTCCAACGAGAGCAACTAGTCTTTATTTTTTATTTTTCTAAATTCAGTTATATGATTTAACGTATTCTGTAGCTATTAGCTAACCACTTTGGCCAGAATGGAGAAAGAAATCTACACAGAAGTACAGACCATGTTAGGATCTGACATCTGAGTGTGGATATCTAAAAATGATACGCTACATGAGCGTGGGCCACAAGGCCCATGTTCGGGCGCAGGTTTTAGACCGGTTAATGTGCTGATTCAGCCCATGACCATCAAAGCCCACATCATAGCCAGACGGCAGCGCTTCAGTCTTCTAATTTCGCCGAGAGACTCTAGTCTCTACAAGAATCAAAGGTCCGCTTCGGTTCTTCTCCTCCCGCTCTCTACCGTTGATCGTCCCGCCGGCGTAAAAGTATTCAAACGGAGGAATAGGCGATTCAAGTCGGGGAAGCGGTGATTAATTTCACACAAGCAATCGGAAATGAGGTTCAACCTCGACCTAGAAGACTCCGACACGCCGGAATCTTCTCGCCGAACTTCGACTCCCAAAGAGAATGTCCAGTGGATTCCGCTCCAGAAGCATTCCGTCTTCACTTCCGCCGGCGCCGCGTTCGAAGGCACCGCAGCTGCTGATTTTCCGGCGCCGAGGAACCTGCTCGCGTGGGACGGTGCCTCCAGGTTGTACTATTGGGAATCAAGCAAGCAGTGCCTCCACCGAGTCTCAATCCGACTAGGCGGGCCGGAACCTACTAATGTGCTCGCTGCTTCTCCGTCCAAGGTACTTCAAGCTAAACCTCCAGTTCTCACTCTTGAATCACAGACGTTCGACTTACAGTTTCGTTTCTGAGTAAGTGAACGACAAATATCAGAGCGAAATTGAGATGAATTCCCAATTCGAGTAGTTGTTCTTAGCTTTGTGCAAGAATTTGGAATCCTTAACTGAGTAACATTCTGGTTTTCACTTAGTCCTTCCTGATTATGCCATGACTGAGTTCTCAGTTGTTCAATGTTTCAGTTAGTATATGAGACTGTGTTTATTAGCCTTAAAGCAGCTAACGAGGGAAGCCATTGTTTGGTGTACTAGGTATTGGTAGCAGATGTGAAGATCCCCTTTGTGGTTAACAAGATCTCCATTAATAGAAACGGGTCAGCTTTGCTTCTTGCTGGTACGGATGGCATATGCGTGATGTATCTATATGGACGCAGTTCTTCTAGGGACAACAGCATTACATGCAGGTACAGGTGGTTCTATATGCGTGATTTTCCCCCGGAACGGATGTTGTTGTTGGGATTCTTTGAATAACTACAATTTTATGGTGATTAAGTTTCCTAGCTTACCTTCAGTTGTCAAATTTGTGTTGCTAAAAGTTTGATTTTATTTTGGACTCTTTATGCAGGACTGTCTCAATCGGTTCCCGAATATATTTTGATGAAAGCAACGTTATACGCACTCTGCAAGTTTCTTGGCACCCTTACAGCGAGACGCATTTAGGAGTTCTTTCATCTGATTCGGTGTTCAGGTATCATGTTGTTCTATTTTACAGTTTTTAGGAGTGAATAGTTCTTTGAATTGTATGGATTCATCGTGGAAGGAAAGTTAAACCAGAAATTACAACTCACAAAGTGTGTTCTCCAAAAGGGTAGATCTGCGGTTATATTTTTATTATTTTCCTGTCCGATGAAGAATAATTTTTGTACACATTAGATGCACACAGAAGCTCACCGGCATGTTAAGAGTACTGAGTGAATCTTATTATTGATATGTTTTCCTTATGCTTTTTACTGCATTCTACTATTATGTATATTTTTGTTGGTTGTTTTGATAGCCTGTGGTCTGGCATTGCTCTTGCTTCTAATTTCGACTACAAGCTGACAATAAAAGCTACCTGAATTTTTCTCTTCTTTACTTTCTAGGATCTTCAATCTGTCTGCGGATGTCCTGCAACCAGAGCAGGAATATTTTTTACAGCCTCTTCAACCTGGTAGATCAAGAAATGCTTCTTCCATGTGTCCTGTTGATTTTTCGTTTGGTGGAGATCACTTGTGGGACAGATTTGCTGTAAGTACACTTGCGATCAATAAATGTGATTTTATTTTGGTCTGGGCGTGATGCATTTATTTGTTACATGTGATGAGAGGTTACGCTACTTGACGTGCTACCGTTTCAGCTTGGTCATATGGGATATGGCTGCTGCTCATATACATTGTTGGAGTGGGCTCATCTTTTCCTTTTGATATAACTCAACATCTATATACTGCCTAAGGATCTCTTGCTTGTTTGGTGATCAGCTTGCCGTACATTCCTTATCTTGATTAGCTTGTTTTAGGTTAAAAACGTAGCAATAACCAGGATTCTGAATACATGTGTTATATCTACTCACATTTTGTCGGTCGTTTAACTTGTCATTTTAAAGCTGTATTATGAGGATACATATATTTTAGAGACCTGATTGTTTTTGACATATAGCATAGTACATACATCAAAGTGACGCTAAGATATGAATAATTGATTTTGTGTTTTCTCTTCAACTTTTACCTTTACTATGCCTCGGAAATGGTCATTGATGTCAAATGTCAAGATAGTAAACTCAATATTACAGCTACCAAGTGGTGTAATTTTACAACCAACTTATTTGTACAAGTGTCTTGTTTCAAAGTTACGTGTTCCTGAAATATGAGCATTCTAATAATTGGGTAGAAATGACCTCTTGTGTTTTTGGCTTCTTTGTGTCCATTTTGCAGGTGTTTGTATTATTCAGTGATGGCTCTATTTACATTCTCTGCCCTATTGTTCCTTTTGGGAGGTATAACTCAATCTTTATCAATTACTTCGGGTTAAGATTCAGCTACTTTTCAGAGTGAAATAGTTGCCAATTTTTACCATGATTATAAGCTACTTGTCCTTCATGGAAAAAGAAAGCTACATCACAGCCTTGATTTGCTTGCATCTTACTGTCTACAATCTGCCTATTATTATATGCTGCTCTAAATACTAACCATATGATTCATGTCTTTCCTTTCTTTGGGTTCAACTACATGTTTCGGTAGTTTCTCATTCTCGGAAACGTTCCCTTATGCTTGCTAAAGAAAATGCCTTTGCATGTAGTGTCTACAAGTGGGACTCAGTTTTGGAGATATATAACGATGCCAACACACTGGGGCTGGAATCAGCAAATCCAATTGCAGTTAGCAACTCTAGTCGGGCAGTCTCTTGGTTAGAAGCTACGTTTCCAGAGTTGAGTTCAGAAGCAGGGGACAGAGAAAACATTTCTGCAGTGAAAGCTGAAGCCCATGCTTTATTTGATGCATCACTCTGCTTGCAGGTACGTTCATCTGGCTGCTGTGAACCCAATGTATAAATTCTATTTGTCCAGCCGTTTTAGTGAACTTCTAACTTGCGTGCAGCCATAAAATATGCTTATAGTAAATGCTCACTATTTATTCTGTTGATAATCATATATGGGAACACAAGAAATACTTAGGTCTCTGCTTTGTCTAGATGGCAATTGTGTAAATACTGCAAATGCTGCATAAATGGTTTGACCATGGAATCATATCCATATCTTTCTTCATTTGTCTTCTCCAGTTTGTATGGGAAGGCGGGAAATATGCAATGTGAATATACTATTAACAGAGGGTGATGCTTCTTTAATTTAGAAAGTCTTATATTTTATCTCTATGGTCGCAACTAGTTTCTGTGGTTTTGGAATCATCTGATTATATTATCAGTGAACAAGCTTTCAGTGGGAAATATAACTGAAATCTTCATCTGACAAGGCAACTTTATTTTAGACAGTTTCATGATATTTCATTATTTCCCCCCGCTAATGAACCATATGATGCTGGATTCAACATTGTAATAGATTCCATCGTGACAGTTTTTCTGTATTTTTTCAGGGGCCACTGCAGAGAATTCAGCGGCATAGGGCAAATGAGGACTTTGCAGTTTCTACTGGGGTGAGCGAAGGGCGTGCCATCGGTTTTCTCTACAATCTTGTCAGCAAAGACTCAGTTCTGGTTACTGCCTGGACTGGCGGCCAGTTACAGATAGATGCTTTGGCTGATGAGATCCAGCCACTGTGGACAATCGGTAGTGCACCTCGCCTCCGTGTTAATCCCCAAGACCACCAAGTTCTTGGTCTTGCTATGATCTGTGGATCAATCCCTCATCACCTCCCTGTTGTGAAGCTAGATCAACCACTTGACCAGACGGTTTGGTTGGGTCACCCGCCACCTCTGTTGAGACTTGCGATTGTAGATTTGTCCTTGCCCCAGAAAAGAGAGAGTGGTTATCATATTCTCATGTTTGCCGATCCACTCATGCCCGAAAGAATCTACTGCCTTCATGAAGGAGGGGTAGACTCGATCGTGTTGCATTTTCTCCCATTCAC